TGCTCCAAAGGGCAGCGGCCTTGAACGGTAGATTTCTACAGCTTGCAGTTCATGATTGTAAATGCAGAAATAGGCATACTTCAAATGGTCACGGCGCACAGGAATTTGGCGGCACGCGCTCTTCAAATCATACGTCCTTGCCAGAAGGCTGCAGTCAGCCGCTGCTCCAAGTTTCTTCTCAAAGTAGGATTTGATGACTGCAAAAAAAGTATCTATCATATGCAAATCCAGTTTTGAGTGAATGGTGCAACTGTCATTCACCCCTGAAACAGAATAATCGTCGATCATCCGGATCTTTTCCCCTTGAGCTAAGGGGAACCTTCTTGAGATAGTTGCACCACGCTCCAGTTGCTCCACCTTCCATGGGCCATCAGCCCAACCCTTTGAGATCTCATCCCTTGTTTCCTGTAGCACTGCCACATCCAAATCAAGAGATTCAGATGGCTTTGTCATTGACAACACGAGCATGTTTTGCTTTTCTGCGTTCTCTTCCAGTTGTTCAAGTGTCACGACGGAGGGCTTGTAGGCCCTTTGATAAACCGGAGCACTTTCGATCTCCCCGCTAAAGGAGACCCCTCTTCCAGAATTTTGAGGGCCTCAGCATCTTCGTATCCCAAACTTTCCAAAATCTCCCTAGTAAGGTTGGAGCCGCTTTTTCATGGTGAAGGGATGGCGCAACTTGGCCGCCCTCTTCTCCTCCCTATCCAACTTGGCTGCTCTCTGAAGCCACCTTTTGCACCATGTCAGTCGGTACTCCGACACTTCAGCACATGTATGCAAAACATGAAAATCAATGGCATCCGACAAGTCTTTAGGCACCAGTTTACAAAAGTTTGCAGGATGTCCTCTCTCAACGGCTTTTGGCATGAATTGCTCAAACGTCCAGGGCAAATCAAAAACAACTTCAAAGCACTCATCACCAGTATGTAGCCCCCCAGTGACAGTAAATGGTCGGCAGTCCGACGAACAGTGAAAACATCTAACGGCTTATCCAGCTTGCTCTGCAATGAAAAGGGAACATCTGACGGCTGTTTGACATAGAAACCTGCAACGGAGGCCACATCATGATTGGAGGCAATTTGCTGCGCCGCGATTGCGACTGAGCTGTGATTCGAGCCGTCTGCATTTCGAAAGCCTTCTCATCTTTGACATCAAAAAGTGAATCTGGAAGGATTTGCATGTTCAGTCGTTGCAAGTGCCGGATTATGCACTGCACCAAAGAATAGCAAAACTTACGGGGATACTGAGCTTCCAAACTTGTTGCGTAAACTTCTTTCCCCTCATCGTTCAAGGTCTTTCTGCACGGAAGGTGGGTGTGCGAGTTGTCACACTTGACATCCATCTCGGATTGCTGCCAGTTTTGTCCATTTTGGACGAGATCTCCCATCATACACATTTGAGTGTTGCTGAACAAAATCTCATAAACTTCCAGCAAGTTTTTGAAAGGTACCGTCTCCCAGAATAAATTCCTGGACGGGTTCTCAAGAGTCACCAAAATTCCTAAAGACACGCAGTGACCAAAAAGCATGTATGTTTCCCAAAACATGCAGTTCGCTAACTCTACACGTTGCTTGTCTGCAGCTGTAAGATCTGGCAACCCCATTGGGAATTCATCTGAACGTAGTGCACGCGGCCCACCATTCTTGATCTGCCGCGCCCTTGAGCATGTTCCACAAACTGGCGCCATGTGCACCCAAAACAACGAGTGGTGACTCCAGCCAGTGGTAAAACAAGGCTCCATCCTTCGGATTGAGAATGTCAAACACAAAGATTGTGGAGCGAGCGTCCCGCTTGCGCATCTTGTCAGGCGCAAGAGAGCCGCTCCTCCCAAACTGTTATGCAAGTGAACACAACGTAGCTGTTCAACTGTAAAGTTCAAATGAAACATTGGTTGAGCAAACTGTAGATGCCTTTTTCGGGTGGTTGCTAAGCCTGCTAAGCCCATGCGGTTGCAAGCACTTCGGCTCTGCACATAAGTGCCAGCCTTTTGGACAACGTTCGCCATCACGAGCACTGTCACAACCACCTAAATTGTAAGCAAAGCGAAGGGAATCTCCTGTGCCTGTCCTGTGCCAGTTGTTTCTCAAAGCTTGTGGCATGGGAGGTGTTTTTCCCTTTTTACCCTTGCCTTTAGATATTCCTCCTCCAGCATTTCCTCCACCAGGCCTTGAAGGGAGTACGTGCGGAAAACTTTGACACACAAAGTTACTGTAGATCGCGAAAACCGCTTTCAAACCTCTCGCGTTCAAAGTAAACACAAACAAAACAAAACAAACAGTGAGAGTTTCGCGTTTCTGCAGTCTCAGACTCAGACTCTCCCAGGCCGTCTCACGGTGACAGAGTTGAAGAAATTCAAAAATTCTACAAATTTAGTCATGCAAAAACGACTCTACCAATCTAGAAACGTGTGAAAACACGAGAGCGGCGTGGCAGCTCTTTTTCACAGCTCGGACTTGAGCCAAACCACACAGGTTTGACAGCTCAGTCACTCTTCTTCTTAGAAGAGTCGTGCAGAGTAAAACGCAGTGACACTCAAACGTTCTCAAACTTCTCAAACTAGTTCAAAAGAGTTCTCAAGCTTCAAAAACGTTCTTCCAGATTCTCCAAATAAAACGTCTTCAGCTCAAACTCACAAATACCTACAAAGCTCCTACCAAATAAGTTCACAACATCAAGTTCCTAAGACATGGGTCAAACAACATCCAAAAACACCAAAACCACAAAAACAAACGAAAATCCATCTCCAAGCTCTTCCATGCACAAACTGGTTCCATGTGGTTCCAAATTGGTTCCTACCTGGTTCCTATAGGTTCCTATGGGTTCTATAGTTCACAGATCGGTTCCTACAAACTTAAAATGGTTACCTAACTGTTCACATGCACATGCATTTTTCCAAGATAGGTTTAAAGATGTTCAAGTAGGTTCAAGGTGGTTCAGTACACTGTACATCCTCTCACCAAACTTTCACACCCCTTCTTGGACAGTAGTGCTGTACACCGAAGTACCTATAGACTACCATACCGTTTGTAAGGCAACTAAGTTCTGAACCCACACAACTAAGTTCCAGACATCACCAACTAAGATCCATGCTCAACAACTAAGCTAGGAACTAGCGCACAGAAAACTCGAAACGTCCTGGGTTTTAAAGGTGCCCTCAGAGAGATGGATGTTTTATGAGAAACGAGTCTCTTTGGCTCCATCTTTTGATCATCATAGGGCAATGGCAGCGGAACAAAGGAGACCACCAAACCATACCCCATAACCATCTTTCTGAGTAACCCACAACTTTGAAACTGAGTTCACAACTTCTGCACAAAGTTTTGTTTGAAAACATTTGTCATTTGGAAACCTTGGTATTTGAAACTGTCTCACGTTTGTCATCTTCATCTCATCTAAGTAAGGGGAACTGGTGCCAATGATCTCTCCTCTGGATACGATCTTGGCTGCCAGACTTTTGGGTATTGGGATAAACCCCCAAAGGTACCAAGGATCCACGTCCCTGGCCTGTGATCTTGGGAACCCTAAACCCCTCAATCTAGGATCATTCAAACACAATCCAAAACAAACTGAAACAACGTTTCAAACCTGTTTCTCAAATGCTTTTCAACTTGGAATCTTGGCTTCTGAACTTCAAGGCTCAAGAAGTTCCTTGGTGGTGTTGTCTTCTAAACCCTTGGTTATCAGCCCAAAGCAAGTGGTAGCTGAGCACTGGGCAGGCCCCTTTTTCCAAAAAGACGTCAAGTCTCAGTCACCCTTCTTTTTCTGACATCCTTTCTGTCGTTTTGGCTTCCTGAACAGTTTGGTTGGTGCAGGGCTCTCAACGGTATTGATGCCCTTCTCAACGCCCTGAACTGCATTGGTCCTCTTGCGCTTGACTTCAAAATAAATCAGATACACCACGACCACACACCAGACCAGGAGTCCAAGCCACAACACCAAGATGACATCAAGGAGCAACATGGCACGTACAAATACAAAAAGGTACAGAGATTGCCAAGACACTTGAACCAGAACTCCAAGACAGAAGGTTCAGGAAGAGTTCAAAACCAGTTCAAGTTCAAGACAACTTCAACCAAGTTCAAGTTCAAAACAACTTCAACCAAGTTCCAAGGACATACAACAAACAAACAACAGATTATGATCCTCAGCTGCAGGGGTGTCTCATATGGCAGTGCCATCTTTCTTTGACCCCTTGGCAGCTACATCATTGGATCATCTTCATACCTTATAGTTCAAGTTACTTACAACAACGTTCAAGACAGGTACAACACGTTGCAAAACCATCTCAAAACAGAGCAGTGAAAACTGTCGACAAGTTGAACTGCAAAACCATGACAACTGTGAAAACTATTGCATACATCGTCCAATGAGTCCACATGTGTCCAACTGCATGCAAGTGACATCCAACTAGTTACAAGTGAAAACAATTGACATCAAATCCCAAAACAGTGAAATGAACATCACATGAACTGACATCACAAGACATGAAAATCCAAAACTGTTGCAACTGGCAAACACCTACAAACTTATGAACAGCTTCTGCAAGATGTTTGGACAGCTTCTGCAAACAGAACTGGAAAAACCCTGGCAACTGTTTCCTACACAGCTTCTGCAAGCAGCCCAGAACTGACAGCTTCTGTTGTTTCTTGGACGGCTTATGCAATGAAAAACGTGTACATCAAGCAACAAAACTGCAAGCAAATGCAAAAACAACAGATGCACTCAAGTTCAAATGACTTGCAAACCTCTGCAATCCCACTTTTTGGATCTCTGCTGCAAGTCTCTGAAATCACGGCTATTGAAATGGCCCTGGAAAAGACCAAACTAGGTGAACCTCGAGGCCGCATACAAACGTCCTATTCTCCTAACTCAGCCCTCTCACAGCTTCAGATTGTAGCCACATTCACAGCCTCTCACTGCTGAAGTTTTGACATAGGTCAGCCATAGTGAGCTGGAGCATTTACGGTGCTGCAGGAGGCATAAAGTGATCTGGAAGGTGTCTATGAAAGTATCCCTGATGTGGGATGCAACGCTCTTGGCGGCTGATCAACTGTTGGTGCACCGGCCATTGGAGCACCAGGCATGGTTGCACCAGGCATGGTAGCACCAGGCATGGTCGGTGGAAAGCTTGTGCTGCTATATCCTGGCTGGCCATAAACCGGCATAGGAGGTCCAGCTGCTGACGAAGGCCGATACTCTGGAGGTGATCCCAAGGTTGCCTTGGGCATAGGTGGCGTCAGCGGTGTTTCAGAAACACTTCCAGGAGGCATTCCTCCGGTGCTGGGCATACTGGTAATGGCTCGTGCCATCTCTTGAAGTGCTTTGATCAACTCTTCATGATACTTTTTCGCAGCATCATTGCTACTCCCAACTTTTGCAAGGATCTTGATCAGCAATCCTTTCACTGACGAGGACTGCTCACTCTTAGCTCCTGACAGCTGCCACTCCATGTTGGAGAATTTGGTCATGATGCTTTGCAGCTCTGCCAGCATATACTTGTTGCTGGTGCGATCATAACCATACTCACTCGCCAATGAGCTGACATCCTGTGCCAACTTCTGGTGAAGCAGTAAGTAATCTTTCACGGCCACAAGAGCATCTTTGTTTACCTCAAAACTCTGCTCCAGTTTGGTCACCAAACGCTCACACTGTTCTTCCAAGGTGAACTTCTGACGCTTTGCAGCAGGTTCAACTTCTCCCTCTGTTTCTTCAGGAGTGTTTCTTTCCCCGGTCTCTGCACCTGGATCAGAAGGCACACCCTCTGGTACGGTTGGTACTCCTGGTTCGGCCACAGTTGCCCCAGGAACAGCCTCTCCCACCAAGACTTCCGCAGGAGTAGCGGGTGTTGCCATACTGCCCATCTACCGAGAAACGAAAGGTTGGTCACAGCGGTTCTTTCTTGATCCTGCTTTTATCCAAAATTCACAAACTGCATTACTACTTAAACGGCTTCTGTTCCTAACAGCTTCTGCATCACATTGAGCATTCCAAAAACCACAAAACCAAAACTTGAGGTTTGGCAAAACTGGGTTTTCACTGGTTTTCGTTTCCGACGTTTTGTTTCAAAAACGTGTCGTGACATGACATGCAAACGAAAAACTTCCAACAACTGCAACCTGCGTGTCAGCATGTACGCGTCCATGTGCACTACAGAAATTACAGTCAGACAACGAAAAGTCCGAAACGAGTTCACATCACGTCACTAGTCAACATCGTCCAACAATGCTCACCAGTCGCACATGACAAAGACTGACCAACGAACCGAGACGGAAAAGGACAGGGCACCGTCACGGAAAACAGAAAAACTCCAGCAAACCAACCAGACGGGACAACAGAAGTACTCAAGGTCCACATCCGCCGCTTCGCAGCAAAAGAACAGTACAAAGTGACAACTGTAGGAAGGGACAAAGACCTTCAGTAGGAGCAAACTGGATTCCAGGCGGTCACCTGCGATTCCAACGTCTATCGAATTCAAAACCTTAGCAAGATGCCGTTGAGTCACAAGCGAAAAACAAAAATTCCTTAGCAAAATGCCTCAGTGGAACAGGCTTGTGTCATGCAATTCGTTCGTTCGGAAAATTTCAAAATTCAGGTGCTACCGACCCTTCCAACAAACTTGACATCTCCCCTTCTTCGGCTAGCAACTGCAGCCTCCGCTGAAAAGTACGGATCCATGACAAGCCGTTGGTGTCGAGTCCTGGCACCAATCCTACCTCTCTCTCGAGGTTTATCAGCATATCCCTAGTCTTGAATGACTTGGTCAAACCGTCACTTGGGTTTTGAAGTCCGGGGATGTGCTCTAGCAAAAGTCGCTTCTTCTTTACCAGCATTTGAATGTACTTCGCACGAAGTTCTATGTGCCGGACGCGTCGCAACAACCCTTCCATTGAGCTTATGCTGATCGCGGCCGTCGCGTCGTTGCGCAAAACCAAATGGTAAGTCCCTGTTGTACACTGCGGGGTTCCCAAAATGGTCAGCGGAATCCCATCCAAAATAGATTCCAACAACATGCCTAACGACACCAACTCTTTCGAGTTTTCTGTCATCGCACACAACTCCGCCTCTGCGCTACTCAAAGCTGGGCATTCCTGTTTCCTAGAAAACACCTTGATGCAGCAACCTTGGAACATCAAGACTCCCCCTGACACGGATGCCACATTCCAAGACGCGTCGCAGAAACCAACAACGCTTCGCGGTCCTACGCTTGGCGATCCTTCCGGAGAAGGCATGATCTGCACGCGGTGAAGGCGCGTCAACAACCAACGCAACAGTGCACGCAAACAAGCTTCCGCTGCACCTGATGGCTTCGACTGGAATCGCGCAAGGTATGAAACTGAAAAACACAAATCAGCTCTAGATAAAGCGGCCCACGCCAACTGTCCTAAAACCCTGCGGTACCGTGCTTCACCCTCCGCTGTCAGAGGCGTGTCTTCGCCCTGTTTCTCACGATCTTTGTAGATCTCTTCCAGCTTTGGCGGTGTCTCGTTTGGTTTCAGTTTCTCGTGCCAGCTGTCGATGATCCCTGTCATGTATGCCTCACTCACCCCCAGACTTAAGGTAGATTCCCCATCCCTTTCTCTATAGATGGTTCTCCCCAAAAACTGTAGGACGCCCCTCTTGAGCGCTGGAATCCTTCCAGTGAGTTTTATTTCCAAATATTCTGCAACTGCTGCAAGAAAGCTTCACCTTCTGGCTGACTTTCGGCAGCGACAAGTAAATCGTCGACATACACAAGCACCAAAAGCATTCCATTGGGAGTCTGCAACCTGAATTAAGTGTCGACTCGAACTTTTTGACCTCCAAATTCCTCTACAAAGAAATCACCATTTCCCTCACCAACAGGGAAAACACAACCAGACTCTCTCAAACAAAACATGTTCCACACATCAGCCTGTGTTTGAAGAATAAGGTTGTTCAACCACGCATCCCCTTCTTCCTCCTCAGATCCTTCCCCTTCTGAACCCTCATCGACCCTGTCAATCGTCATGGGCTCAGGAGCTTCACCTACCTCACCTGCATCTACATCCATTCCCTCAGCTCCATCTGCAATGGGCTGTGGAGACACCTCTTCCCTTGGGAAAACCGGTGGATCCAACTCTGGTGGAAAGTCAGGTGGTGGTAAGGCCTGTTCTGCCTGTGGTGCCTCAAGACGTGGTTCTGGGAAGTCCTGTGGCCTAACGCCTGGCAAAAGAGGAAAAAGAGATTCAACATCATACTGGAGAGGCTCCTTCAGTTTGAAAGAGTGACCCTTGATCGCCTCACGATACCCTTCAGCATCAACAGAAAACGGGTACCCCAAACAACCTCCACCAGTCACATACCTCATGCCGAGAAAATGGCACAACACCAAACGCTGACCAGGCCATTTTGAAGGATGAATTGGTTGCAAAAATCCAACTGCTCCAAAAGGATAAGACCTAGGTGCCTGACCTCCCCGTTTCTCTCTCAAACGTTCTAAGGGGGTGCTCCCAGCCTTTCCCTCACAGTATGCGTTGTACGTCCTATAGACATGTCCCACCAAATATCCCAAAAGTGGGGATTCCAACGCAATCCTGGCATTGCAATGGCGTTCAAGTGCCAACCAGTTGGCATAGATCCCTTCTTTCATGATGCAAACGGCTCTCTCTATGCCTTTTGCCTGGGGTCTTGCCTCTGAAATGTTTCTCCAGTGATAGCCTCGTGCTGAGCTAGCTGAAAGGCCTCTTTCAACCAAAGATTTCAGTGCTGCCTCATTGTCAGTAGCTACTTCTACAGACAACCCTCCAACACCAATCTCATTCAGAACAGTTGCAGTTGACTGCAAGTCACGTTCTTTGTCACCACCGCAAACCACCATGTCAACCATCCCAGTGTGAACCATCAACAGGACCAGAACTTTCCAATGTTTCCCTGCTACAAAAAGGAAATCAGCAGCAAGACTGTGGGGTGTTTCATGCTTATGACCTGCTCTCCTAGCAGGTGTGCGTCCTCTTGACTGCACGCAATCATCACATCCCCTGTCATAAGGCCAATGGCCCCTGCACTCATGTTCCAGCCTGAGACGTCCATCACCCAGTTCAGGGACACTGCACTCCAGATCTGATCATCTGATCCCTCTGGACCATCTGGTGTGTCTGGGCGTTCTGGCAAACCAGGTTCTTATTTCTAGTGCAAGTGGCTGCTGGTAAATCCTAAATTTCAAAACGCCAAATTGCAAACTCGCCACAACATTGCCAAACATTTGGGATGTTCAAAAAACCGTTCACTCAAAAAACGCTCACGCCGAAAAACCACAAGACATCACTGCAAACGCATTGACATGAAATCAAATGTTGGTCAGAGAGATTCGAAGCGGACAATCTTTTTTGACACCAGTGACAACGGGCTGTGCAGGTTCGAGTCGTCAATCTGTCGAATCGATTGTGTCATCACCAGTTCAAGCAATCGATAAATTGCCTGCCAAGAAAGAAGTTGCTTCCAAATGGAATATATCCACCTGTTGTAAAGTTCAGACCTTTGATCCCCGTTCAGACTCATAGGGTGGGCTGGGTGGGGCAACCTCAACCAAAAAAGTATGAGGCTACCCGCCACCCTACCCTGGTAAGCCAAGATGTCGTACATTGTATTCTTCATATGGAGATGGCTGATCAATTGTAAATGAGCACTGTCATCATCGAGTGAACTTCTGGAAATTCAAGAGTTTGAAATGCCGCCACAAACATGTGTTTGAAGTTGAAAGGTAAACGAACGACAAACTGCAACTGCAAATAAGCTTGACCAAGTCTGATGTGAACATCCAAGATCCAATCTTCGAGTGATCCCTTGCAGCGAAGAGGAGGCAGCAGAACAAGGAGGATAACCAGCAGCACGAAAACACGTTTTCTCACCAACACTAGAAATAAGGAGCTATCAACAAGTTGACCGCATACTTATTTCTAGTGCAAGTGGCTGCTGGTAAATCCTAAATTTCAAAACGCCAAATTGCAAACTCGCCACAACATTGCCAAACATTTGGGATGTTCAAAAAACCGTTCACTCAAAAAACGCTCACGCCGAAAAACCACAAGACATCACTGCAAACGCATTGACATGAAATCAAATGTTGGTCAGAGAGATTCGAAGCGGACAATCTTTTTTGACACCAGTGACAACGGGCTGTGCAGGTTCGAGTCGTCAATCTGTCGAATCGATTGTGTCATCACCAGTTCAAGCAATCGATAAATTGCCTGCCAAGAAAGAAGTTGCTTCCAAATGGAATATATCCACCTGTTGTAAAGTTCAGACCTTTGATCCCCTTTTAACCGTGTCTTCCGCCAGAGCAATCATGATTTCTTGTAATCCGTTTTGAACATCAGTTTCAGATGCTTTCTGATTTACAAGCTCGCACACATCACCTCTCGATGGATTGTCAGCAATGTTGGAGGGTGTGGGGATTCGAGTGTACCAAGGCGTAGTGCAATTTGCCATTTCCAACTTTAACAGGAAGTCAATCAACAAATTTGCCGTGAAGTTACGGCCATTCCCAGAAATGGCTACATCTCTTGCAGAATTGTTATCCACAAAACAAATTACAGACATGGCCATCAAGTATTCTCGCCATACAGAGAAGGCAAGGACCATTGCCAACAGTTCCGCCTCGAAAATGATGGTTTTCTTTGTGTCTGCGCCAAGCATTCCCATGTGGTCACCATCCAAAGAAATCGAGAAAAAGGCCACCTTGTTTCCATTGGGTCCAACCAACACACCCCCTAAGCCACACTTCCAACTTTGCGCTGTCGGTTCGTAACATGCATCCGTATACACATGCCACACCATGTCAGTGCTCAAGTGGATCCTCCGAGGTTCCGCATGCTCCAAGAAAATAACAAAACGA